TACATAGCTGTCTGCTATAGCTTACTTGACAGCAGGGACTTGCAACTAGTGTTGTAACTTTTTTGATTAACATTTATGAAGAGGACAATAATATAAAACTTATTATCCCTGATTCTACACCAACCCCATTATGATATTTCATTCTGCTGGCTTGAATTTGTGATATTTTCTCAGTGAAGAAGAGAATATTACCTAGTTTGATCCCGAAAACTAATGACCATGTCATGATATTTTTGTGTTCGGTTCCTGAATTGGAGTGTGCTTGTTACTGCAGTTTGTTCTGACCATTCTCTTACTCAGACTTTTTGGTATAGGCTGGTCGTTTAGAAAATGTGGTCGGGTGGTACCATTCCCATCCTGGTTACGGATGCTGGCTCTCTGGTATTGATGTATCTACACAAATGCTTAATCAGCAATATCAGGAGCCCTTTCTTGCAGTTGTTATTGATCCAACAAGAACTGTTTCTGCTGGAAAAGTTGAGATTGGTGCCTTTCGAACATATCCTGAAGGATATAAGCCTCCAGATGACCCCATCTCGGAGTACCAGACCATTCCTTTGAACAAAATCGAAGACTTTGGAGTACATTGCAAGCAGGTCACCTTTTTGGCATGAGAGCATGCACTCACACACATATATTAAAATCTAGGTCTTCAACTCTGCTTTACTCTGACTGTTAGCTCACCAACTTTTCTCTTGATTTGCAGTATTATTCATTGGATATTACATATTTTAAGTCCTCTCTCGATTGCCATCTCTTGGACCTACTATGGAACAAGTATTGGGTGAACACACTTTCTTCATCTCCTTTGCTTGGAAATGGAGACTATGTTGCTGGACAGATATCTGATCTTGGTAATATCATTCTTGCCTACATTTCCACTTTCTTTTATCATCATCATGATTTGATGCCTGCATATGAGTTTACATGATATGGTAACACCTAAAATTTGTTGATCCCATTAAATCATGCAGCTGAAAAGTTGGAGCATGCTGAAAATCAGCTGTCCAATTCACGTTATGCGTCCTTAATGGCACCCCCTCAAAGAAAGAAGGAGGTATTTTCTTTTATATTTTTCTTTTGGTCTTGATAATTCATACTCTAACTTACAAGTCTATCTCTTACTTTGTTTTTGAGAATATTAGTCTGGCATAAAAAAAGAATATTAGTTTGCCAGTTCTTTAGTCTTTTGGATTTGTTGAAGCCATTTATCTTTGTATCTTTTTGGCATGTGGTTCCTATTTCGACATTATCAAACCCAGGTAATATTTTGTGCTTACGGAGTGACTATTGTTGGAACTTTGTAGCTTATAGCATACTCGGCCTCTTGATCATATTTTGCTGGGCTATGAAACTGCTTACAATTAAAATGTGCATGGATGTGCAAAGGGTACTAAATATAAATTTGCCTCCAATTTACCAATTACATTTTCATTTTTTTTTTTTAAATGATGACAGTTGCTAAACTTTATATACTGGAACACCTAATGCGTGCTTATGAAAATCAACTAGGAGAAAGTAATGCAATACAAGAAAAAAAAGGATGCACTATGTATTCAAATGTGTATGGTCTGTCGATCTGTTATGGATTAGGTTCATGCAACTCTTAGCAACTGCTTGTACGTGAAAGTGGAACTCTTAAGAAAGGGAGAAATGGCCAAGACTGTATGAGTGAAGAGTTCTCTTACTACTTTTAACTAAAGATGTCAAAATAAGGTATAGTGGACATCGGAGAAGTTTCCTTCTCATCATCTCATGTGAATGTGTTAGAATATCACCCCAAATAGAAAACTAGTACACCATAATAATGTGCCAATATGATCCTATCTTTACCTGTGAATGTTTTGGTCCTCCATTATAGTGGACCTGTGGAATAAAGACTTTTGTTACTGCTGTGGTTAAGAGTGGGTAATAATCACTTGCCAAATATCGGATCTGTGAAGCAGAACTAGGTGTAAAAGGGGAGCTGCATCATTATTGAATTTCTTTGTTTACTACGAACAGGTGTCTGTATTTCCATTCTCACATTAGGGGTTTGAGGTTTGTTTGGCGGGTGGGGAAGCAGACACATAGAAGTGATGATAAACCAGTCAAAGGCAAAGGAGTGAAAAACAAAAGCTATAGCATTATATTAGCAATCAACTTACCTAGCGAAACTTGAGAATAAGCTTTGTGATTACTATTTGGTATATCAGGTATAATACTAACCTAGCGAAATTTGAGGATAAGCTTTGTGATTACAATTTGGTATATCAGGCTTTTGCCTTGGGCAGTGATTTTCAATCTGTCTTTATGTGTTCTCCCTATTTTCCTTCGCACATGCAATATTTGTACCGAGGAAATTGGATCCTGAAAGCATTGAACCAACCATTGTCCCCCACTTCCAAAGTCTATTTTAGTTTGCATGTAACCATTTTGTCCAAAATTAGCGGGGAAGTTACAGAATAGAGGATAAAATATGACTAGGCAACAACATATTGTCTGGCAGTTTATCATCACTATTACTGTTATCTCTATGACTGTGTTAGGTGCACTTGTAGAAAGGGATGAGCTTGATAGAGGTACCGGGGCTGATACAATTCTAAGGATAAAACTAAGAATAACAACAAGAAAGTAAAAGAAACAAAATAAGATAGAAGGGTAGACACAGGAAATGAATCAAAGACAACCAATTCAATATAGAAATTACCTCCTTTGAATATCCTATCAAACACCTAACCTATTAGAAAGACCTCTAGGGAATTAAAATTCCCAAGCAATCCTTCTTTCTAATCTTCAACACAACCAAAAGCTTAAAGCAAACACTCAAATCTCTCAAGGAGTAATACTCTTTATGTTTGATAATAATCTACCTTCCACTACTACTTATACTAGATAGAAAAGGAAGATACTTGCTATTACAATTTTACCCTTAATGAAGTAAGGGCCTTGTTTGGTTGTCTTCCTTTCTTAATGAAGTAAAGGCCTTGTTTGGTTGTCTTCCTTTGGGATGAATTCATGAAAATTCATAAAGTAGCATGGCCAACTTGTCCTTTCTCCTTTCTTTCATCATCCCAAGCTATCATAAATACATGGAATCCTGGGGATGGCTCTATGTGCACTCAGGTGCATCTCTCTTCATGAATAAGCCTTGTAACACTCGGAGCTCACGTGCTTGGCTCCTTGTGAATGGCATCAAGGCACCTTGGGTTGCATCAGGGGTGGAGCCTTTCACTTTCTTGTATTGCAATACCATTTTCATGTATGTATTGTGAAGCAATCAGTAATTTGCTGCAGTAGGTGGTGATGTGCCATTTTCTTTCACTTTATGCATCTTACTATTTGTTTTTGTGCTATTGAGCTTGGTTATGTGGTAGTTACACAGCCTCGATCTAAAACTTCAGGCTGTGCATTGAATGCTATCAGATTCTGACTTCATTTTTCAGTAGTCTTTTGACTTCCTTTTTACCTTGCTACTTATGCATGCTTCACTGAATTGCAAAATACAACATGGATCATGCAACTTTGGTTGCATAGTGATGCTAAATGTGTTGGTCCTCTGAGTCGCAGGAAGAATCTCAGCTTGCTAAGATTACACGTGATAGTGCTAAGATTACTGTCGAGCAAGTTCATGGCTTAATGTCACAGGTATACATTGTTCTATTCTTAATTTAGTCACATATCATTCGTCTAGCTTGAATTCTTTGAACATTTCCACTGCTGGATAGGAACGTCTTGACACTCCATGTTTTTATCCTTGGTTTTCAGGTTATTAAAGACATTCTTTTCAATAGTGTTGGTAAGTCAAGCAAGTCACAGACAGAACCCTCAGGTCCCGAGCCCATGATCGAAAGCTGAGAAGTTCCTGTACTATCAATCTGGATGTAGACCAATTTGGTGCAATTTCTAGGTTTCTTTTTGCAGTTGACTATATACATCTTTGACTCCTATTTATGTAGCTACAAAGAGGTGAAAGTTTACGGTGATTGGCTTCTCTTAGATATCATGACTTTTGCTGTTCAATGTTATGGAAGATTTTGTCAAGTTTTTCACAAGTTCTTTTCCTTTTGTTAATTATAAGTTCAGTAAATCGACAGGTTTGGTTTGGTACTTTTAAGGAAAAACCGGCTCTAAGTGAAATGTTGGGCTAACTTTATGAACTGTTGTTGCGGTTGTTTGGTTGGGAGCAAGTTATTTATGATAATTGATTCTCGGATAAGTTATCTTTGGATAAGTTATTCCACCATATATATGGGATAATTTATCTCATTGGACATCACTATTATAGGTTATATCTCACGCGGAATGAGCATTGTTATTCACTTATTCTATTCATCATACTACTGTTTGGATAACTTTTCAGAAATAAGATGACTTTGGATTGGACGAAACTAGTTAAAGTGTTCTTTTCATACGTGTACTCTCTTCAGTCCATTTTACTTGTGGCGTTCTTGAAGAAATTATATTTTAACTACTAGAGTATATATTTATTTACTATTTACTAGAGTATATTTTTATTTATTACTTATTATCTTTAAGTTACGTATTTTGATTATTATATCTTTATTTATTATCTTTAATTATTTAGAATATTAATCTCTCTTTCAATAAATATTCTCTCTTTTCTATACATGCACTTTAGATTTTCACTTAGATTTTCTATACTAATTAATCAAACTCTATCATTTCTATGAAAAAAATATTATTAAGGGAAAATTGGAAAAAATGCATTTAATTATATCTTGACTTCTTATTATAATAACTATTTTGAACCATCTATTTTTAATAAAATAAAACAAGTAAAATAGAGAGAGTAGTAAAGTAAGCACATCCTTTTTCTTCACTTCATATATATAAAACTTTGTGCACGGCAAAGCCAAAGAAACTTGAGGAAAACATTTATCCAAGTTTAATACGCCAAGTTAATTTTATTATGTTATCATTTCTTATTTCCTATATAAAATCCCGTATAAGTAATTTTTTTGTATGATAATTAAGTAGATATTTCGTAAACCTTTTCATAATTTTCCATAAAGGTGACTTAAACTAAGTTGAAAATTCCAAAATTTTATATATTGCTTGTATACATAGTACACAAAAGGGGGTTGAAGAATTAGAGAGGCTGCTGTATGCATTGTACAATATTAATATTGAAAAGAAAAACCATTTGGTTTACTGACCTTTCCTCTTCATGATGAGAAATTGAACTTTTCTTTTTCTTATAAAGCTCTTTATAAAAAGCTTGAATTTTTGGGTACCTTAGTAAATTTAATATGATTATGAGTTTGTATATAAGAAGACTTGAACAAACTGCACAACTATCTGGTAAGAATTCTTTAATTTGTGTTTGTTTCCATTTGTTTTTTTGGACTCTTTCTGTCTCAAATTATCTGTCGTGTTTCTCTTTTACATGTTCTTTAAAAAAAATTAATTGGTAGATTATTATTATTTTGTTGACTATTTTATCTTCTCTCTTTTTGGAATACTATTTTATTCTCAATTATGTTTTAAGATATATAATCTTTCTCGGTTAAATATTTACTTTATTTATGTGCTTGTAGTTCTAGAACAATTATTACTAAGAATAAAATGGAAAAATAATTAATTTTGTTATAAATTTTTAAAATAATAAATAATTTGAATATGAGGAAGTACTTAACAAACAAAAGAATAGAATTGTTCCATGCACTCCCAAGAGAAAAGAGGTTTCGGGTTTGAGTCCCCTTGCCTTTGTTAGAGAGTGTTTTAATCTCTAATGTGAACTTTCTAGCGCAAATTTAAATTTAATCGAGCTCCAATATGGATATCAGATACAAAAAAACATATCAAAAAGAGTATAATTAGACCGATCGTTGAAATTAGTTATTAAGAGAAATTTGCTATTTGATGAGATTACTCCGAGAAAGATACTTTATTCTAAAATCTAGTTATAGTATTACGAATCATCAAATGTGTCACATTTTAATTAGAACCCAATTGTTAGTATTTTGTGGAAGTCATTGTACAATTAGAATACATAATTAAAGTTCAAATTTTAGATTTACCTTTTCGTACGTAATTTCTTGATTTTTCATTCTGTATTATAAAAAAAAATGAATTTCTTTTTATATATAAAAATAGTGAAGATTCTTCTTCCGTGATGTTTTGTAGTACTAATTACGTAAAAAGCAATTTGATTAGGAAACAAACTTTTAATTCGAGGATATTCTTTCATGAAAAAGAAAAAAAAAACTTTGTCTTGGTCGGTTAAGCTTTTAAAAAGTAGTTGAATTTAAAAACATAACACTACAAAAAAGAGTTAGTATAGGAGAAGGATATTTAATAGAATAAATTAATTTATTAATTTCAGTGTTTATAATGTATAAGGATTAGGATTATATTATCTTTAATAAATGATATTCTTGAATTGGATGTTGTAACTATTATATATTCTCAGATTGAAAGTGTTCACATAGTAATCTACCTTTTTGTCTTCGTTTACAAAAGCTTTAATTTTTCGTGCACATTCACCTCTATACGATTGACAAGGTAGATTAATGTACTTTTTATGGGCATTCGACAAAACTTAATAACTTTGGCAATTCAGTAACAATACAAAAAGAATCATGGTTAGGTACTCATAAATTAAAAATTATGGCTTCGCCTTTGTAATTCTAGCTAACAGATTTTTTATACAAATAGATAAAACTAGCTTATCTTGACTGTCCAAAAGTATAATCTCATTTATTTTTACTCCCTTGTTTTAGTTTATCTTTATACGAAGTTTAAGAAAGTACAATAAAGATGTTCTTTAATCTTATAGTTACTTTACAGGTTAGAAGATGGAGTTTATGCATAGGAGGAAAGTGGCTATATCCTTGCTATTATTTGCTCTCCTCTTTGCCTTTAACTTCACTAATCTTGAAGGATTATCAGCCAGGCCACCAGGTAACAATTTTTTTTTAAAATTTTCGTTTTGGGCATTGGCCTGTATGGCTAGAAATAACGTTTACTAGTCACTTTTGAGTTTTTGTTTTTGGAAAATTGTCTTGTACAGTTTTGTCAATTTAAGGTTGTATGAACTCCAGCATTGTAGTAATAATGCAGTACATTTATTACATATTTATAGAAGTCCTTACCTAATTAAAGCTAACTATCTCATTAAGCATTTAAGCTTATTGCTAAGAAATATTGTTTTATTAATTAATGCTCTTAATTGATAAATTGACTTGTTGATTATGCAGAAAGAAGATTAGTTGAATTAGATTATGCTTCAGAAGCCAAGCAATCAGATGATACAGTGAGAATAAATCCTTTGGACAATTTCAAGAAATACAAAGGAGGATTTGACATTACAAATAAACACTATTGGAGTGTGAGTTTTCATCTATTATCCTAATGTATTCAAGTTATATACATCGTCAGTATATTACAAATCGTACGATGTTAAGATGACTTGCCTGTAAATATGCTTTGTGTGACCTCTTACAAGTTAATAGGACTAAAAATAATATCTAACACGAAATTTCAACTTTTTTTTTTGTGCAGTCCACAATTTTTACAGGTATATATGGCTATGTCATTGCAGTGATATGGCTGTTGTGTGGCTTAGGATATGGAGTATTTCTTGTAGCCTCCACCTGCTGCTCTAAAAGGAAAAACAAAGAGTTTAAGAAGAAATCAACTTGTTATAAACAATGTTATCTCTGGCTGACCTTCTCAGCTATTTTCTTGACAATTTTAGCTATGTGAGTTACTTCATTCCTCTAATATTACCAAAGTTATCGGGTTTGAGCTCTGAGAGTGGAGTCACCTTTGGTAAGGAGGGCTTTTTTGAGTCGTAGCAGAAACTGATTTTGAGAAGTCGGTAAGTACTTTTAGAACCTTGATCAAGCACGAATTGCTACTCTAATAATGACAAAAATACTTTTCAAATAAATTAGTCAAACACAAAGTGCTACACTCCAAGAATACTTCTTTTCGAAAAGCAAAATAAGCAGATTTTGCAAGTTTGACCAAACAGACTACTTGTTGGGCCCAAAACAGGTACCAAACATCGGATGGGAAACATAAAAAAATATATGTACTGCATCCTTGAATAAAGTATTTTCATTTATTGTGGAAGGTTTATAAAATTGAGATACTTTCACTATCATTGCAGAACAGCTACAGGCCTGGCACTAGGAGGGAATGCAAAACTTCGTTCAAGAACAAATACAGTTGTGGACATTGTCGTTGATACAGCAGAGGGGGCATCGGAGACTATATACACTACTACTGGAGCCCTGAGAGCGATGTACACTGACTTAGCACATACTGATATACGTCATGAGGCTGCTCGTTTCCTCATTCCCACCTCTCGAAGTCTTGACAGACAGGCTGCTGATATACATAGGGAAGCCACCGAAAACAGGCGTTTAATCATGAAAGGCCTTGACATATTGTAAGTCTTCATCTTCTAGTAGAGGCAAATCCAGGATCTAGAGTTAGTGTGTGCTTTCGAGTCCATACAATTTCATGGCAATTAAATAAGTGAGCCAACAAGTTTACGCTCATTTTATGTTGCTAGAAAAAAAAACTGAAATGCATACTACTTTTTGTTGGCAGGTATATAGTAACTACATTGATCATTTCACTCAACTTGGTTGCTGTAATTGCCCTAACAGGTGACTACTAAATCCAACTCGACTTTTCCTGTTGTTCGATATTATTTCAAAAGAATCTTGAAACCAGAACTAAAATGGAAGTGTAAAATACCCCTTGTCTGGGAGCTAGAATTCACTAGTATGATATTCAAATTTTGCCATTTCTCTTGTTTAGTTTGCAAAGAGGGAATTAGAAAAGGAGACTAGTTATTTTTGGGTAAAAATTTATCCGCACCAGGTATTTTTGAGTAGGGCTGTCGTTAAATATCTAATTCTGACTAAAGCTGCAATCTTTTTCATTGCAGTATTTGGAATCCTCAAATTCAGAAGAACTTTTCGCCTGTAAGTATATCATGTCAATGGCGCAAATTTTTGCCTCCTGTTTAGATACAGTATATCTGATTTACACTTTCCAAGTTCTTGGAAATACTCCGATAGTTTCTAATTTTTGAAACATTTTTCTGATCCATGCAGGCTGATTGCAGTATGTTGGATGTTTACAATTCTGTGCTGGTTATTTTTCGGGATTTATTTCTTCCTAGACAAGTATGAAAGCAATTTCCAATAACTTCTCAAGTTCTTCTGTTTCATCTCAAAATTGTATTCCCTTGGCGTGCTCATGATCAAATTGCATCTGTTTATTGCAGCTTTGCTGGAGATGCATGCACAGCTCTAGAAAGTTTCGAGATAAATCCCTACAACAATAGCTTGAGTTCAATCCTCCCCTGTAGTGAATTACTCACTGCAGAATCAATCCTATATGAAGTCAGTGAAGGGATTCATCGAATAGTGAACAGGGTAAAATTTAGTTTATTTTAGTATCACAGCAAAATAAGTAATACTTCTGGTATTTTGAGCAATAAAATTTTTGTTTACTACAGTCTTGATAACATGGAAATTTGCAGGTAAATCGTGCTTTATCAACAAATTATGGAAATGTTGCACAAATCTGCAATCCATTCTCCGGTCCACCTGACTATAACTACGAGCCTGATGAGAACTGTCCATCTAGCGCAATCAGGATAGGAGACCTCCCTCGGGTATATAGCTCAAAGGCTATAATTCACAAATTTCTTCACACATAGTTACTGTTCTTAGTCTTTCCTTTACATTTGATTTGACGGAATTTTCTCTTCTTGTATGAAGATAATCAAGATGTTGACTTGCACGAATGAAAACTGCATAGGAGGAGTCTTGATTCCGCTTAGGGACTTCAATAACATCGAGGCATATACAACTGCTCTCAAAAGGATACTGGATGTGTACCCTGGAATGGAAAGCCTAGCAGAATGCGACACAGTGTATGATTCGTTCTCTGATATCCTTGACTACCACTGCAAACCATTAAAGAAAAACGCGCATATGACATGGGGAGGACTCGTTTTCCTGTCAACAGTAATGGTCGCGTTAGTCCTCGTGTGGACATTTGAAGCACACCATGAACAGAATCATCATCACAACTTTGATAGTTCAATCAAGCCTCATTCTTCTGCAACAGTAGATATGATAGAATTAGGCAAAGTTAAAGAAGCCGAGGTTGATACTAATCCTAGTTCAATAACCTAAATGACATCTGATTAAGTGTTAGCTTAGAGAATTATACAGATTTAACAGATTGTAGGGATTAGAAGAGTATATATAGGAGATCAAAGGGATCTCTAACATAGCAATATAGGAGATTCTTTATTGTTAACAAAGTTAAAACAAGCCAGTTTATTGGGACAAACCCCTAATGGCATGTATGAAATTCAAACAAGAAAGAAATGCATCTATTTATCAAAAAAAATATTCAGAAACTACATGTTCAAGTGTTGTCAATTGTATTTAAATATTTTCATAGTATATGCTGGTATTCAACCTCTACGAGGCAAGACTAAAGTCTGGGTACAATACCAAAAAGCAAGACTAATCACCTCATCATTGACCAGAGTTTGGATTCAATACTTGCTAATATGACATCGTCTTTGTTAGGAACCCCTTTTGCCTAATGTGGAACTTTTGGACGTAAATCAGGACTAGTCACCTCCTCCCTTGGGGTATAAGAGTTTTCCAACTATTATCAATTTATCATATCCTTACTGTCACAATATCGGAATCTTATTAGCCTAGTTGGTTTGTCACGTGAGTTCAAGGTGAGGGTTTGATTACCCACATTATAATCGTTTCACCCATTTCCTATTTCCCCTTCCCGTACCCCTATGCAATGATAATATATATTTTTTTTTTAAAAAACAGTCACCGGCCTCCCAAGTCATCGATTTTTTGTGTATTTGAAGAACATATGAACGCAGAGGGGAATTGAGTCAATAAAGATCCAGTCGATAAAAATGGAATCTCAGCCAGCATCTCCAGGATTCGGAGCGTCATTGCAACTGAAGGACTGCATAGAAGAGCTGCTGAGATTCACACTTGTTTCCTCCATTGACGGCACTCTTGAAATTGACTTAGGTCTCTCTAAAGACTATTGCTCCACCCTCTTACAAGAAGATCCTTCCGACCCCTTTTTCAATCCCACTGGTAATTCTTACTTCTCACCCACTTTTTGTTGTACCAACTATTTGGGGCAACTGAACTAAAAGTAACCCATTTGCTATGCAACTATTGGTATTTTGTTAAAACAAGCGCTTGATCTTAACAACATAATACCCGGTGTACATAATACCCAGTGTAGTCCCACAAAGTGCGGTTTGAAAAGGATAGAGTGTACATAATAGACCTTTACCCTGCCTCCCATGGCAGAGCCAGGATTTTCAGTGAAGGTTCAAAGTATAAAGAAGTAAATATACTAAGAAGTCGAGGGGGTTTAACATCTGCTATATATACGTTAAAAAATAATGTTAACCATGTATAAACAATGATTATAAAAACAGTCCTCCATGTTTGTTGTTCAAACATGAATAACTAGTTTAATCCTAAATAGTTGGTATTGTCTATATGGGTCTTTTGCTTCTAATACAGGAATAAGTCTGTTACTTTAGGTGGTTCCCTTTTCTGGAACAGGGATTCAGGGAGTAGGTGCTGACTAATGCAAAGAGAATTGTCGATCTTTTCTTTTTAAAAGATTAAAACTTCTCATTTGTACCACTTTTTTCAGATTTTGGATACTTGGTCCTCTATCGAGTTGATTATTCTGTATCTCGTGCTGCCTGTATATGACAGGTCTTTCTGAAGGAGTTCCTTTATATCCTTTATACAAGCGCCTTGCAGCATCCTTATATGAGGCTATTTCTTCTGAAGCCTTGCCAAGGACAGAAAACAAACTTGCAGTAATGCAAGAAACTAGTTCTTTGAAGCAAAAGGAAGAAGAGTGGGCTAGTTTAATTAGGGAAAAAGGTTCACATTTGCTCAATGTAAGTTAAACATGTAATAGAGTTTCTTCCTTTTGTTTCAGTTTCACATACATCATTCCGAAGTTAATATATATTGGGTGTTGCTAACTACAGGTGCTTAAATCTGTGGACTTTGAACTCCATGTTCAGGAGCCTTACTTCTCTCTACTTAGAAGTATATTTATCTGGATATATTGCTTTCCGTAGCAAACTTAGTTTCCCGCCTTGTCATAGATTTATATTTCCTTTTATTTTTAATGCATTTTCACCTTTGTTGTCATAGTTGAATTCTTTGTTGAGTGTTCAAAATTATTTGCAGACGGACAGAAAACAGTTGAAGGAAGGTGTGCTGTTGGACACTATAATAAGTATGACTTCATTATGACTTGCATGCATTTTGCTTACTCTATTGACTGCTTCTGACATCTCCTCATTAAACATGTTGTGCTTAATGCTGATTCTCAAGGTCGCCAATCAGTTAGGTTTGTGTGCCTTAATTAGTCCACTCAATCGATTCAAGTGCCAAAATACTATTCTTAGAATACCTTGTGGTTAATAAAACTGTATTTGGTTGACTCTTGATTTTCTGTGTCATATGATAATTTGGATGTTCTGAAGAGGATGCCCAAGAAGTCATGTATGTTTGTTTTATACCGACCTTCATCAAAGTTTCCATCACAAGAAGAATTTCCATCTCCAATGTTTTAGATCATCATGGGTGCCTTCTATATTAGTAGTTTTCGTTTAACGTGATTCTATTTCATGATATAACCATTTTTAGTACAGAGCCGAAAAGTTAGTCCTGGTTTATCTTCAAATGTGTTGGAACCAGAACCTCACGATTGAACTTCGAGAAATATCCTTTCGTTCTAAAAGAAAGGACTTGCTTAAAAATGACAGGAAGCATCTTTGACACATTGATCTTCTCAAAGAATATTTTCTTCTCTTTTCCTCTTTCCTCTCTCAGATGATGTCTTTTTTGGATGTTAGAATTGAACCAGGTTCGTCCATCCTCATCAACAAATGTTTAGTTCTTCAAGTTCAGGTACATTCATCATGTACATTTATTTTCTTTTTATGTATCACTTTGGTACTTCTTATAGTCAACTGAAGAAAATGTGCATTTGCAGGATGTCCATCATTATCATTCATTCCATGAAATGTTAGAAGCAGAAAGTCTTAAAGAAGTTCTTCCTGGAGTGGATACCACTGAAGAAGGTGGAAATTTCTTACTGTATGATAGAGAGGATGTTACTTCTCACGCCATACCTTCCATGTTTGTAGGGACTTATCTATTTGTTGGAAGACGATTAACTTATGGATATGCTTACAAATATCTTATGTTTGAATCTAAGAGTAGTATCTTCTGTTAGATCATCGTTTATCTTATGGATATGTTTACAAATATCTTATGGTTGCTCATCCCTATCTTGAAAATCCTGATTTCCCTTCTCAATCTCTCCTATTCTTTTCACCTCATATCTGATGCTCATCATTTTAATGCCCCAACTCCATAAATGTGTAGCTGTTTCTATTGATGTGAAGAACACATAATTTGAGAGTACAAAAAAAGAATTATTGTTAAATAACAATGGTCATTCCTAGTTTGGTTTCTTATCGCGCTACTTGCGATCAGAATTTTAAAGCCAAGTTATAGTTGGTTTTTTTAAGGCTATCAAAGCAACTGTAATTTTGTTGGACCATTTGAGACCTTATTTGCTCTAAAATCTTGCAAGTGTAAAGCAATATGTTCAAGTTATAATTGATATGTGAGGTAAAGCCTTGTTTTCTGTTAGTTGGTACTATTTGGTAGTTGGTAGATCCATTTTTATTTGTAAATATGGAGGAACTGAAGGTGAGGCTAATTGTATACCGGACTTTGTTGCTTTCTGCTAGTAACTAACTTTTCAAAACTTGTAATTAGTAAAATGGATAACCAATTCGTAATTTTTTATGATAGATGTTCCTTATATGCAAGTTAAGTTGTATAAACATGAAAATTTCAGGTGTCCAAGTTTACCGGAGATTTTACTCAGAAGAGAAAGAAAGGTCAAATGGTGTTCTTGCTATCAGTGTTAAGAAGCTGGTTTCTCAGCCTTCCATCAATTTGAGCTCCATGCTATCTGTGAGTATGCCTTTAGCTCTACTTATCTTGGCATTGGAGGTATAATATTTAGATCATGTCAAAATGACATAATGCTATCATTGAAGTTGTGTTCTCCTGTAAGTTAGAAATGATTCTCTGAGATATTTTTGTCAAAAATTTGCTTCTTATTGACTCACAAGTCCCTACAACTGTATGTGCTTTGATATTGCATGAGAGGCCCTAGGTATACCTGCTTCAGGATCAAGCACAAATTTTAACTTCTATTATCGTTAACACACTTGTCCTCCTACAAGTGTATGTGCTTTAGTCGTGCATTAGTTTGCCCTTAGCATAGCTGCTTTGAGATCAAATCCAAATTTTCACGTCTGTGTCAAGACTACAAAGTTTCATATATTGTTTCAGGTGCGCGTATAGAAAAAGAAAGATGTTTGTTAAGTCCTAATTAAGAGTCTAATTTCTTTCAGGAACTGAGCTATGCTGGTGTTCAGAGGCTTTTAGGATTCGTATGTACAGCTGGAACAGTTTCTGAGGCACTTCCACCGCCAACATCTTCTCTAATCTCATCATTTCTATTGCCACATAATCCAAATGTATGATATGACTATGTTGGTTTTCTCCTTGTGAAATACTCTAGGGCAAACTTCTGCTTCCTTGTGAATAAGCTGTTTTTATAGTTATTATGATTGTTGAAAGTTAAAGGATTATTGAGATGACATTTTTTTAATAGAAGTAAATTGAGATGACAGTAAGATGAGAAAGAAGAGAGAACTGTATCCCATCAACCTCTTTGCCACATTTCTTGGCTAATAGAAGCAAGCTCTTCCGTTTGCCTTTTTGTACGTCAGTAAGACACCAAGAAGTTAGATAGAACTTCAAATGTCCACTTGATAGAAACAGGGTGACAGGAGTTGGACTGTTATACTGAAGCAGTTTCAGGCTCTTTACTAATGTCCATCCTATGTAAAGCAATACAATTTCTTCTCCATTCTGTTACTAATATTTTGTCTTAACGAGAGGGGTAAGGTAGATGGTGGATGACATATTGAACTATTTAAAGTAGGAGAGCAAGAAAGTAGGAAAAGAAAATGAGTAAAATCTCTGTGCAGGTTATTTTACATATGAGAGTAATCCTAAGGTATCTAGTTTCTGCAACAGACTAAAGGTTGTACATTGACTGATGGAGCGAGGGCATTGTCAAAGCACGTTAACAGGAGCAGTGACAGATACTGGGGTAGTTTTTCTGGAAGTGGTTAGTCCCTCACTCCAGAGCCCTTCAACATAAACATCCTTGATTTGCAATATGTGAGGTTCTAATGCTTTTGTGTCTGTTATTTTTCTTCTTTTACGAGTACATTGTTACTTCTGGAAAGCAATTCCTGTTATCACCTGCTGCATGATACCAACGATTCATGTGCTACTGTCTCGTGTTTTTCACTTTCCAGATTCTGATAAAAATAGGATTGCCCTGGATGTCATCAGGAACTTAATAACGCGTTCCTGCTGGATGAATGTGCATATTGTTCCACCACATGGTGTTGTTTTTGAGATAAGAGTTGTTAATGGTTACGGTGCACGGTGGTCTAAAGATGGAAGTAAGGTACATATACTATGAAGTTGTTACAAGATTTCTAATCACTTGTCAATGAAAAGTAAGGTTTGTTTATTTCAAAAAACTAGCTGGTGGAGACTAAGAAATTTCTATTGGATTTGCAGTTTATTGGTTTCCTTGAGCCCTATATGGAGGATGGCCATTCAAAGGGATGGAGGCACTGAATAGCAGAAGATACAATAGGCGTTTAACGACCATGAATTTTTTTTTTTAAAAAATATCAATTTATTTGAATCTTTGGATTATTTTGTAATTATATGTATGAAGATAGAATTTTACACTGTAGGAATCATTCCCTTCTGTTCTCATTTGTTATAACATTAGACATTTCACTAATGCTTAATTACCAATGGATTACCACCTAAATAAAAAACATTTAACCCTCCACAAATAGTTCAAGATAGAGAAAAGAGGAATTATCTCAAATTTATAATAGCAAAAAAAATTGTTTGTGTTACTTGACACATTAAATTTGAGAAAACTTGGTTAGAATTAACAGGTCTGCGCCAAAAATCATGTAATTGAGGCGATTTTTTTCGGTCGTCACTAAAAATATGTTTTCTTGTAGTGTTATATGGTTTTATAATATTAATTGTGATCAAAGGCATAGAGTCGCTTTGGCCGAGTGGTTAAGGCGCTCGCTTGCTAAGCGAGTGGGATTCCCCGCGTGAGTTCTCGACTCACAGGCGACGATGTATTTTTTTTTGTCAAACTTTGTTTAACGCAATTTTATAAACTTGTGCTGTTTTGGTAAGATTGTATAAATAATTGAAACAATTTTAATAGTTTTACAATTTATAAGGTTTTATCTTTATAAGAAAATAGTTCAAAGCGCAAGTCCAAACAAAATGACGGGCCCTTAAGTTGGTTTGAAGAGTCACCTACTATATGAAATTGGTGTAATTAATAGGGTACTAATTACTAATCTAGTAATTACACAACCTAATAATTATACTAGTCTGTTTATTTGTTTATTTGTAAAAAGACGTACTTGAATTTGATTATTAGATACTCCTTGTGTCTTGAATTAGTTGTCCTCTTCCCTCTTTTTAAGAATCAAATTGTGTCTACTTTAATCATGAGATTTTTTTTATTGAATTGACAATATGAGAAAAGCTTCTGAGATGTAGTAATTCTCGTATGGTTTTTAAAAAAAATACATTTTAATTATAAAAAATAAAATAAAATAAATTCAACTTAACTTCAAAGATTAATCAAAATAACTATTGAAAGCAAAACATGGTAACTAATTTGAAATGAAGGAAGTAACTTCATGGGCTCAAATAAGATGGTCTTCTCGTAAAAAACGTGTTAGAAGAGATTTAAAGCCCGTTTGAATTAATAAAATGGTCTTCTTGTAGACGTTTTCTACACAATATACTAGAAGAGATTTAAATCCCATTTGAATGGATTTATAGCTTATGATTAAATTTAAAAAAATTATATCTTTTAATTTATTTTGACTTAAACCCAAGTTAAATCTCTTTATCATCTTATTCAAAGTCAAACACAAAAAAAATACTTAAAATTATTTTGGCTAAAAAAAAAAAAGCTAATCCAAACATGTGTTTGGTATTTATATTAGAGTCCGAGTAAATTTGAATTTGTACCAAAAAGTCCCTAACACTCTCTCCATACCCAAGAAAATTCAAATCCGAAATCTGTTGGTTAAAATTGAAGGAATATTTACGGGGAAATGATCAAAATGGTCCTTAATGTATGGGCTTTGATTCCATTTGGTCCTTAATATATGAACTTCATGGAAATGGTCCTTTATGTATTATAAATTGTGATCAATTTGGTTCTTAACTCTAAAATTAATATTTTATTTTTTTTGCCATCAAAATACACGGAATATGTAAAAGATGCGCTCGTTCAAGACTTTCCTTCCCCTGTTTCCAAAAATTCCAAAAGGGCACATCAAGTTTTTTTAACCTAAAGGGCAAAATCGCTCCTGACAAAATTAACGCCGTTACTCCTTTAAAAAACATAAAAATCGTTGACGATACAATTTATTTTTTTTCTTTAAAATTGCGGCTGTGAATTTTTTTTTAACAACGCTGCCTCAGCAGCGTATAAAAAATAAAAATAGCTGCTATAGTAGCCATTTTCTTAAAAAGTTTAAATTTTTTTATTAAAAATTCCCGAGGTGAGGACTGCTTAAAAAAATAATGGGAAATTGCTGCCACGGCAGCGATTTCAGTAGAATTTTTTTTCCAATTGAGTTACTTTATAATTTTTTATTGTATACTTTTTGATTGCTAGCAGCAATTGGAAAATAATAATAAAAATTCTTACTGAAATCGTTGCTTTGGCAGCGATTATTTAAAAAGAATTTTAAACTAAAATCCCTACACATGGAGCGATTTCCCATTATTTTTTTAAGCAATCCTCACCTCGGGAATTTTTAATAAATTTTTTTAAAGAAAATGGCTGCTATAGCAGCTATTTCTATTTTTTAAATGCTGCTGGGGCAGCGTTGTTAAAAAAAAATTCACAGCAACGATTTTTATGTTTTTTAAAGGAGTAACGGCGTTAATTTTGTCAAAAGAAAATTGCTCCGTCAGGAGCGATTTTACCCTTTTGGTTAAAAAAAATTTAATGTGCCCTTTTGGAATTTTTGGAAATAGGGGAAGGAAAGTCTTGAACGAGCGCATCTTTTACATATTCTGTGTATTTTGACGGCAAAAAAAAAAATATATATATTAATTTTAGGATTAAGGACCAAATTGATCACAATTTATGATACATAAAGGACCATTTCCATCAAATTCATATATTAAGGAGCAAATAGAATCAAACCCATACATTAAGGACCATTTTGATCATTTTCTCGAATATTTACAGTCCACGGCAACCTAGTTGGTAAAGAGCTTTTTATTTTATTTTCTAGTGATTTGGGCCGAGACAAGTTACAGGAAAATACCCTAATAACTCGAAAACGCACGCTGAACTGAAGGTTCCCTATTGCTCCGCTGCAGCTCTTCACTCTTGAAGGTACCAAACAATTTCTAACTCTTTAATCCTTTTTGCCCATATATTTGATTATATACTTAGGTTTTGTGTTAATTTGGGTAACTTCACTGTGAAATTCATGTGTTTTTGTGTTTCAAACAAGGTAAAAATTTATACTTAGGTCAATTTTTATTTATGAATTCTGCCTTATTTAGTCTGTTTATTGGCGAGAATTTCTCCTTCTTTTTTTTTTGTTTTAAATCAGCGATTGTATTGATGTAACTTCGTTTTTGTTGGATCTGTTTGTGCGACTTGCTTTCTTGTGAAAGCTTACCCAGTTTGGTTTTGCTCTGCACATGTATGTATGTAATTCTGTTAAATTGTTTGAATATCGTAATTCAATGTGCAAAGTAGGAATAAGGATGAGTTTGTCGAAAAAGAATTGTTCTTTATTGCCTTTTGCTTTAACAGGTTATTTGTATTAGTGAACTTAGCAAGATGAGTGCTAGACCTTTCTAAGGTCCTGTATTTGTAACTTTGAAAGACCTTTCTGAGTTAATGTATCTAGTTAAATAGAATGTCATGTTCGGGAAGACATATTGTGTTGCCTTTTTCAATCTCTTTGGGAGATTGGAGCTTTGCCCCTTTTAAATGAGTACTAGCTGTTGAATTAATTGACTGAAAGTCCACAAGGTGGGAGTAGGGGACGTGCTTAGTGAAACATGGAGATGTCATCAGGTGCACATCCTATACTAGTTGCGAGTGATATGAATCTGGTGGTAGGCTTAGACTGGGGATTTGTGCTTGTTGGAGGTAGCAGGCTGCTTGATGGATTAGTAGAGCTGTCAAGATGTCATGTGAACTTGACCTGAACCATTGTTGTCAAGGAAGAAAACATTTGACTTAAATTGAGTGTTTACTTGCATTTTAGTCTTGCTAAGTTGGCATTGGCTTTTTTTGTATGCCGATTGCTGGCTAGTACGTATTCTTCTGTTTTAACTATTGAATTGTGTTATATGCTACTATTGTTGGGGTTCTTCCTTACTCCTCCCAATCTTTGTACAGCAAAGTTCTCAACTTCTTTTACTCTAGCGAAATCAAATTGTTGAGATGAGAAAAGACAGGCCAGCTGTTGCAAGTTCAAGTAAAATAAGATTTGATGACTCTGATCAACATGAATCTTCATCTGAAGACGAGGAGGAGAAGGGGATAGAGGAGGAGCTTGCTGATGTGACCTTTGAAGAATTGCAGAGAGCACGGTCTGATGGGTCGGCTACAGTGTATAGGAAGCTTAATTCGGAAGGAAAAAGTAGCCGAGCTAACAAGAACAGGCCAATGGAGATGAGTAGCAAAAAGCCAGTAAGCCGATTTAGGGAAATTATCCAAGTTCCTAAAAAGTCCACTCGTGACCCTCGTTTTGAGTCCTTAAATGGCCAGGTAGATGAAGAAGGGTTCAAAAAGAGATACAATTTCCTTTATGAGGATAATCTTCCAGCAGAAAAAGAGGATTTGAAGAAACAGATGAGGAAATCAAATGACCCAGAAGAGAGAAATGAACTGAAAAGTCGTGTTTCTTGGATTGACAAACAATTGAAATCGGCAGGAGTGAAGCACACTGAGAGAGAGATTCTGGCAGAGCACAAGAAGAAAGAGAGGGAAGCTGCTAAGCAAGGAAAACAACCTTATTATCTCAAAAAATCTGAAATTCAGAAACTCCAACTTATTGAGAAATACAAGTCACTCAAAGCAGCTGGCAAACTGGAATCATATATTGAGAAGAAAAGGCGCAAGAATGCTGCGAAAGACCACAGATTCTTGCCATATCGGCGTCCTGGTGAGCAAGAAAACTAGTGAAATGACATGTTTGTATGCTGTAGCAAATTTGTTTGCTTGGTTTTCTCCTCACAAATATGTAGAGAGCTTGCTTTTTAAGCATGACCATGTGCCTTTTCTTTTGTTACGTCAATTTTGTTATCGTTCAGCTGATTTCTATAGACTTAGTGGCTATACTTGCTGTAATTCAGAACCTGGACAGAGATGGTTAAATTATAATATTCACAATCTAGCAGTCCATCCTTCAAGTGACTCATTTTGTCTATTGTTGAATAGTTACTCTTTAATAGAAATAAGCTTGTCCATGATTAGTCGGGCTACATCCATTTCTTCCTAGTGTGGAAAGCCATTAGACATGTGTAGTGTGTTGAGAACAATTATGACGTCTAATATTAGGTGATTTCTTCCTATATGTCCAAGTCTTGATGGATAGAATTACCCAATATCTAGTGGGGATTCCATCAAATTAGTCGAGATGTGAGTAAGTTGGCTTAAACCCCACCCAATTTTCACCTTTGTATCAAACTCAATTCCCCCGGTGCTGTTTCAACACTGTCTAGTTCATGGTCAGGGATGAAAATTAGTTTCACTCCTTGAGTGAAGGAATCATTGATCTTGGGTTGGGCTCCTTAATTTGACAGGCCACTATTGCAATATGAGACACACAATTGGCTGGGCCTTTGTCCAATAGTAGAGATGGCTAAGAGTGTGTTATTGAAAGTTCAACTATATATTATTGAAAATATACAAAGCCGGGTGGAGGTTGAAGACCTGTGGGTTGTAAACTTCTTTTCTCGGAGAAGAAACAACAATGGTATCTCAGGAATAAGCATCGGCTAGTTCTGTCTCAGCAGCCGCGGTCTTTAAAACTATCAATATATATAATCTTAATCCTGCCTCCAAG